TTTTCTGGAGTTGGTTTCTGTTTTTCCAAGTAATCCGGTTGTGTCTCTAGAAGGAAAAGTAATAGCAAAACTCTTTCTCTCTCTCTCTACTGAAAAAGTAAGAAGAAACCTTATAACAGTTCAACTGTGTAGTCCTCGCGTTGTGAATTATTTTTGGAATCCTGAGAGAGTTCCCAAAATATCAGTGTCTCTGACTACCTCAAACCCTAAAAGTTAAATTTTTGCTTCTATTCAAAGACATAAGTCTAACTGATTTTTACATCTGAACTAAAATCTATTCTGAAGATTTTCCTTCACTCTAAGGCAGTCAAGTATTTCGATCTTGGCAATTGGAAACTCAGGAACCGTGGGAAGTCATTGCATTTTATCCTTTAGATGCATACTCATGGCCCACAGGGAGGAATCCTTTTTTCTTCCTTTTGCTGTTTTTTAAAAGCCATATCATTCCTGCAGAGGTGTATTATCTTATTTGTTACTTATAGAATCATAGAATCCTACAGTATGAAAAAGAGGGGATTCAGCCCACTGAGCCTGCACTAACCGTCTGAACAGCATCTCACACAGTTTCAGTCCCCACCCTATCCTCATGACCCTCTGTTTACAATGGCTAATTCACATAACCTGTATACTACAGGGCAATTTAGCAGGACCAATCCACCTAACCTGCAAATCTTTGGACTGCGGGAGGAAACCAGTGTACCTAGTACATACCCACTCAGACATGGGGAGAACATGCAAGCTCCACACAGTCACCCAAGGCTTGAATCGAACCCGGGTCCCTGGCACTGTGAAGGTAGCTGTGCTAACCACGGAGCCACCATGCCACCAAGCCACCCAAAGGGTCCTGACCTGAAATGTCAACTTTCCTGCTCCTCTGATGCTGCCTGGCCTGCCGTGTTCCTCCAGCTCCACACTGTGTTATCCCGGATGGGATATACTTAGTTTGATACTTTGAGTATGCTTAGTTGATAACATATTTTTCCACTTGTTGAAAGAAAAAGTTTGGTTTATAATACATGAGTTGTTTTTGATTTTATTAAAGAAACCAAGTGAAAATCTCTTATTATGATAAAAGGTAATAAAAAGAAATCACTTGGCCATTTTGGTGATTGAATTAAAAATCCGACACTAATGTTATGACTTGTGGAGTAGTGAGGTTTGATTATCAGCTCATCCGTCCCATTAATTGTAACAAGAATGTTAAGGGTGTACTTTATGCCCATTCTCTCATCAGAGGGAGAGGACAAAATACCAAAATTTTACTGAAACCTAAAAAGAGAAACTATAAAATTAAGAAAAATAAAAATAAAGGGGAGGTCTTGTGACACAGTTAATAGTTTTTGTTCCTTGAGTCAGAAGCTTGGGCTTCAAGTTCTACTCCAATACTTGATTATCAAAGAGGGTGGATTCGTAATGTGGCCAAATCAACTAGTCAATCCTTCCAACATATGTCAATGACAGACTACAAAAGCAGGGCAGATTCCTGGTTAGCCATGTGATGGAAACGAATTGGACCCTCTACTATCACTAATTGTAGCTGTACTCTAAGACACGCATGTAAAAGTGTATGCGGCCATAGTATCTTGAAGTCTGAGGGTGTCCATTTGGTTCATTTAGCTGGATATTAGATTGTTGCCAACAGGAAGGGTGCAATTCTCTTTCACATGTTCTATCTTTCCCTTGCCTCCATTATTCTTTTTCTCTTTCCACAGAGGTTAATGCTGGTCAGCTTTTCTGCTTTGCTTTGCTTTGCTTTGCATACCCAACATCTGCCATATTGCGTACCTACCTTTTTGGTTTGACATGGCAACATGTGGCATATTTCTAGTTAAAGTAGTATTACAGTAAGCTGTCAGTGTTCATTTCAAAGCTTTTCACTCATACTTACTGTGCTGGTTGATGAGCATGCGGATAGAGATTCGGCTCAAATAGAATCGGTCTAAAAAGTATTGCACATTTTGATTAACTATGGGATCCACCCCAAATGTTTCTTTATATTCTATGACTCCCTGGGCCATAGTTGGGACAACATCATTGTGCCGATTTCGAATGTTGATCAGTGTATCTGAAAAGCTAAAACACATATTACTGACAAATCATTTATCTGTGGTAATTTATATAACTTAAAGTAGCCCCATTTGGCTGATGTTGAGAGTAACTTAAATGGGAGGCACAAAGTAATAAGCTTATTGGGATAGTACATACCACTAGTTGGACTCTCAATTCCACATGAGGGAATCACGACACTAGCATTAAAAAAGTTAAGCAGTTTATAGATCAGCGGACCGATTGAACCCAGGCAGGAATGGAAGTAGGTGAAGGTAATGCAACTGGGACAAAGACAGGGCAGTTAAGAATAAGGAGAGTTGGGAATGTGGGCCAAGCAGGCAGAAGAATGGACCAGCAGACATGAGCAGAGAGAAGAGAATTTTGAATATTTCATCGTTTAACATTTTTATTTGTAATGATATTAAAGAAGATGGAGAATATATTTTGGTCAAACACAAAGTACCTTTGCAGTGGAACTGCATGCTGTCTCACCATATTAATATCCTACACAGTTTGGAGGACAGTTTGCTGACTCATATATGCTCCAGCATTTTACACATTTTCTGCTGTTCATTTTTAAATGTTATTGGAAACATACGTGAATTTCTTGAATCAGATTGGAATTTGCAAAAAAAATACTAAAGGCATAATGCAACTTACTCTGACAAAACTCTGTAACTATCAGGGCTTTTATCCAAAAATTCCAGAATATCAGTGAGACTTTGCACATACCTAAACAGGAATAAAAGGCAAAAAATCAATGCAATTTAATCTAAAATATACAAAAAAGCAGTGAATGATAAATTAAAATGAAGGTTTGATAAACCACTAAAACTTGAATAATTCCTGCTCAGAATAACATTTCTCAAACTCTTGACTGTAATGGAGCATTGCCCAATTTCTATTCCAGACTCCAGACCAGAAGCAGAATGCAAGTACAATTATTTTCTTTAGTCAATTCATTCCTTTTAATTGCCAAGAAGATATTGTGCGCAGTGTAGTAAAAAGGTGTGGGACCCTGCTCAAATTGTTATCTTGTTATCGACTTTTATCTTGCTTATGTTAATTTTGTTCAGTTCCAGACACCAATTCCATAAACTTTCTTGGAATGTATGGTAGGCTGACCTCTTTCTCTGCTGTAAATACAAATACAAAATAATGATTAAGCATGCCTACCATTTTCTTATTTTCACTCACATCACAGTCATCAGCTTTTCAATGGGCCCCCATTGCTTCTGACAATCTGATCATTTTCTTATTCCTAATGGAATTGCAATTTGCGTTGATTTGGAGATTTTTCCAATTGCTTTTCATACTTCACTTTTGAAGCTTCAGCTGTTTGCAATTCTGTGTACTGAATTTCCAAATTTATTTCTGAAATCCAAAAGCTGTTCCTCAAATCTTTACCAATATGAGATAATCCAAGATGCTTTATAGTGCAAATAGATCAACAGAGATTTTAGCTTCAGGCTCTGCAATTCACTTCCTTATCCTGAAGCCTGTGAGCCATTTGTTCAAAAAGACTTTACCTAACAAAATAAATTTTTTTTTTTAAAAAGTGATCTGCAATATGTCAAACACTAGTGAAAGCAGTCACATTAAAGAATTCCTGAATTTGAGAAACACCAGCCAGAGCAATTTAAAATTGAATATCAATGCCCAACTGCACTATTTTATTTCAAAGCACCTTTTGACCTTTGCAGTTGAACAATCGAAGAAAAATGTTTCTGCTACGGCAAGATCATTTCAGGAACACATTCTGATAGCTCTTCCTTTTGTGCATAAAGTGGAAATGACCCCAGAAATGATTCAGAACTGGCACAATCATTCCAAGATAAATGCTCTACTTCTGGTAACTTACATAGAGATAACATACATGTGGCATGATAAAAATACCCTTCTATTAATATTTGAATGTTTTTGGCATTATCAAGCATTCAGAACATGCACATACAATAGAAAGATCAATTGCACAACAATCAATTTATGATTACACACAGCATCAAAAAGACATACACGAGTATTTAAAAGCAGTTCTACATAACTAGAATGGGAAAACATCTGTTTTCAATGGCTGAAATATTGAGAGAACTAAATTGCTGAGGAAAGGTAATGTCAGAATATGTCATGTTGGCGACTAAAGTTCAGCTAATCAGATTGTGATATTTTAATATTAAATTTAGAACTATAAATTGAACTAAAACTAGCTACAGCTTCCTTAATTTTTTAGTTCTCATGTTGCTTGTTTTCCTAGTTTCTTGTTCTGAATTAAACATTTTACAACAATTAGAGAACTGTACTTTTTCCACAGTACTATTTCAGAAATTACTGCAGAATATAGCTAATATTTTTACAAAATATTTTAATACAGGTTTCTTGTTTTCCTTATTACAGGCTAAACCTCATTTGAGAAACATAAAAGACCACTGTCAATTGCAGAATAACATTAGACCATAAACATGACTTCCTGAGTGACCTGACCCCACCGTCTCCTCTGTAAGACATTTCCTCTTAGATCAGCAACAGCTGGGAGACAAAAACAAAACTCCTGATTTTCACATCACATGAAGAGCACCAAGAAAGGTCAAGTCCAATACAAGCAATTCTGTTAATTTCTCCTCCTGTTCCCCACTCACTCATACCAAACAGGCGAAAAAACTGAGTCTTTCCAGTACAGTAGAGTACTAACTCTACCATTAAAACTTAATATTGGACCTGTGCTAAAAAGTAATAAACATCAAAGCAGAAGCAATTAATTAAAAGGAAAGAGGAGACAGGTGGGGGAAAGAAAGAGGAGGGGCAAGTGAGAAAGGGGGAGCAGAAAGGAGGTGGAGCTGACAGAAGCAGGGAAAAGAAGTTATGAGGGGAGAAAGAGAGAGGGAAGGGGGAAAGACAGCAGGGGAGGGTAGGGTGAAAGACAAGAGAGGAGGGGAGGGGGAAAGAAAGGAGGGGAGGGAGAAGAGAGACGATGGTCTCCCTCCTATAGGAAGGTTGTTATGAAACTAGAAAGGGTTCAGAAAAAATTTACGAGGACATTGCCAGGGCTGGAGGACTTGAGCTATAGGGAGACGCTGAATAGGCTGAGGCTATTTTCCCTGGAGCATCGGAGACTGAGGGGTGACCTTATAGAGGTTTATAAAGTTATGAGGGGTATGGATAGGATAAATAGGCAAGGTCTTTTCCCCAGGGTGGGGAAGTCCAAAACTAGAAGGCATAAGGGCATAGGTTTAAGGTGAGAGGAGAAAGGTGTTAAAGGAACCTAAGGGGTAACTTTTTCACTCAGAGGGTGGTACATGTATGGAATGAGCTGCCAGAAAAAGTGGTGAAGGCTGGTACGATTACAACATTTAAAAGGCATCTGGATGGTTATACGAATAGGAAGGGTTTAGAGGGATATGGGCCAAATGCTGGCAAATGGGACTAGATCTATACAGGATATCTGGTTGGTATGGATGAGTTAGACCGAAGGATCTACTTCTGTGCTGTATATCTCTATGACTCTATGAAGAGAGGGGAAGAGGGAGGAGGGGAGGGGAAGAGAAAGGAGGGGGAAGAGAGAGGAAGGAGAAGAGAGAGGAAGGGGAAGAGAGAGGAAGGGGAAGAGAGAGGAAGG